GAGTTCAATGCTGTCATTGATTACATCTGCCCCATGTACAGGAGGAGGTAGGGACAGCAGATGATACACTTACTAACCTTAATTTCGGATCTTTGTCCATCTTTAAATCATTGCTTTTCTTTCTTTACCTCTCATTTAATTGACTTCAACTGTTTTCTCTTCCCTGAAGTTCTTGTTCTCTTGTTTATAAAGGCTATCTTCTAGTCCTGCAGCACTGCTGGGGTCTTAGGCCATTTAGGATTCTGTAATAAAGCATCAGAATCTGTATGGCTTAGAAACATCAGAAAAGTTTTTTCACAAAGGTCCAGGGACTGAGGGCAAGGCCCCAGCATACAGGTCTGGTAGAAGCCGTCTTCTGAGTTCAAGATCACCCAGTTCTTCCGTGGCAGAGTAGACGGTGGAGGCAAGTCTCTGTGACTTTGAAAGGGCACGGATTTTATTTGCGAAAAGTCCAATTTTACAATGTCTTCTAATCCAAATTATCTCCCAAAGAACTAGCCTTCTAATACCATCATACTATGGAGAAGGGTGGGGTTTCTACGTGTGAATCTGGGGAAGACATTCAGTCCATAAAGCTGGCCAACTCTTTTCAAATTATTTGGAATTCAGTGAAGGCTTCACTTCTTACAGGAAATCTTCTCTGGTTTCGTCATTCAGGGTTGTGTTCTTTCTACTTGATTCCTTAAAGTATGATGTGCCCTACATGTAGCATACAACGTTCTGAGCTATTCTAGCTTACTTCTTGTAAAATGATCCAACAGGCAAGATTCACGTAGCATATATTTACTGAATGAATGAGAATACATTCTTCACTCCATTTGTAGTCCAAATTACCATTGCTGTTTTTGTAAAAGTGACCTGCTTTCTAGGTCCAAATGTACCATTGTAAACACTGGGCATTAGGTCACATGGGACTTCTGCCTTCTTATTTTTCTCTCATATACTTTGGAGTTTCCAAATGTTTATTCAATAAGAATTTTGTCTATTTACATTGTGTTGTCTATTACATGCAGACAATATAGTATTTCCTTCCATAATTCATTCTCCCTCTTTCATAACTGAGTTTACACAGAGTGTAATCTTCATCAACCACATCAACTTGTTGGGAGGGTCACATAGGGGCTCTGATGTTATTCATAATGCTTCTTAAATTGGAATAGGTATAGAAGAATATATATTATTTAAGTGCTTTTTAAGTCTAAGATAGTTTATAAAAATACCAGGGTATTGATTTTTCTTTATTTTTCATAAAGACTGTTTTAAAAATCAACCTTTCTACAAAAAATCTCCTGGGTACTAGGTTAAATATGTACACAGTCATACTAAATGGAAAGAAAGTTACTGAAATATAGATACATAGATTTTTTTTAAAAAAAACATTATTCTAGCTGGATTCATATGACAGATGGAGGGCTAGAATCTTGACTAATCTGTGGGTCTTTCTGAATGAAATCAATTAAGTTTAGCAAAGCTATTTATTGCTAGATAAAAATGCAATTAGCAATTATAAAGCAGTCTGTAGGGGTTCTGATTATAATGAAGCAACGGTGCGTTTCTGGGAGTTGGCAAATGGGTAGAGTGGTTTATATTTTATCTCCTTCTTTTCTTTTCAAGTATATGTAACTTGCTAAGAAATTTCCGAGTGAGGGAACCTTACTTGAGCTAACCCGTATCAGATACTAACATAGTCATTTCCTGAGGCAGGATAGTTGGGTTATGTCTAGGAAGCAAGCTGTCTTAAGAACAGAAAATGAATGGCAGTGTGGATGTTCTTTTGTCTTTTTGCAAATTGACATCCTCAAGCAAGGATCTCTTTGGTTCCTGCACCTCTTTCTGTAATGACACGCACAAAGATAAAAATAAATGCTCTTCTCTAGTTTGAAGTTTACATTAGTCACTGCTAGCTAAGTGTCTGTAGAACCTGTCCTTATTTTCCCCAATAGATAAAGCTACAAGTTTGCGAGGTGAAAAAACTTCTCTCCATTTTGTTGCTGTGAAATATATTTTTAAATGTGTCAGAGGAGGGAAGCTAGCTTTCAGACTCACACATAGAGCTTTCATATTTCTGGTGTTGCAAACTAAAGTCACTTACCAACAAGATGGCTGCTGTTGGCCGAGTGTTCTGAGGGGACCTCAGTGATTCATCTAAAAACTAGGCCATATCCCACTGTAGCAAATATCACTCCACAGAAAAACTGTGCAGCAGTCATATTCAAAGTCTATGGCACTAGTCACCATATTGAACAAAGTAACAGAATTTGTTAAAACTCTAGCAAAGAGAATTGAGAATTGCTTTAAAATAAACTCAACTCCCTTATTTAGTATGACAAAGTAAATGAATAGCAAAGCTGTTTTGCTTGAGGGTTTGCTTGTATGTTGATGGTCCATATCTGTAGGCATAGCTCAGATTCAAATTTAACCTGTAATGGCCTCATAATTTTTACCTAAGAGAAGCTGGAGGAAGTTCTTGTTGGGCCCCAAGTGATATTTGTTGCATGCTTTGAGAAAAAGCCTCAGAGAATAAATCTTCTGTAAGCCAAAATAGAAATTTGTTCTGGTTAAGGGGCTAAAACAGGTGATATCATCATTAGAAAGCACATCACTTTGGTGTGGTTAACAAGAAGCAATAGGTTCTTTCTGAAATATGTGATCAGCCCACTGGAATTAATCTTAGTTGTAGGCTTGGCAACTCAATTTGTTCCACTGAGTAGTCTTTGTAGTATTTATTACCTATGAATTAGTTTGGGTCTTTGAAAATCCATTTTCACAAACTACCTGGAAATTTCCCTCTGTTTATGGCGTGTTCATGTCATTAATAATTTATGTTGCAGAGCTGATGACTTTTCCTTATTGAAGAATGAGTCTAAACTGGGCATGGTGGCTCAGGCCTGTAATCCCAGCACTTAGAAGGTGGAGGCAGGAAGATCAAGAGTTCAAAATCATCCTCAGCTACTCAAGGGACTCCCAGGCTAGTCTGGCCTACAGGAGATGGAACAGCTTAGACAGGGATTTTCAGTAATCACTGGCTATGAATCAACTGAATGGGAGAGCTTGTTAAGTGTACAGCAGTCCTTCCTTGTGCTGTCCTCCAGGTGAGGGGTCTCAGTGTGTGTTTTCTGAAATGCCATGCAGCATGCAACCAAACTTGGTTTTTCATGATAGCAAAAGAATCTTTGAGTCCCATTTTTCTTACTTAGGCATCTTTTTACCCCTGTTATAATATAAAGGACCACTGTTATGGTGGAATGAGTGTGTCCCTTGAAACTGAATTTTGGGCTAGGCCACCCTCATAGGAGCAGTTTGATGAAGTGGGCCTCACTTATGGGCTGAGAAGCCAGAGGCACCAAACAGTGACCCTGACAAGGGCAAAGTTTTCACTAAGTGGCACTTTAGCCATATCTGTGTAGAATGAAATAAATCTATATTGTACATGGTCCTAGCCTGAAGAGCTAGTGGAAGAGAGATTTGGAAAATTTAGTATTGAAGATTCTTGCCAGTCCGGCACTGTGGAGCATCCCAGCACTTGTAGGGCTGAAGAACCACAAGTTCCAGGTCAACTTGAGCTACGCAGGGAGATCCTGGGTGAGGAGGGGAAAAACAAAATAAAACAAAAACTTCTGAACTACCTTGAGACACTACTGAGTAGTAAGTTTGTCAGTGCTGAGCAACAAATGTGTTTAGCTATCTAGTCTGAAAACACTCCTGTTTAGACAGCTTGAGAGGTGGTAGAGGCATTGAGTGCCTGACTTAGAAACAGGGGAATGTTTAGATAGCTTTTAAGATCCTCAAGAGAAGTTATCTCCCAACATGTATAGTTTATGTCTGAATGGCTCAGAGTTTGAGTAGTAAGTTTGTCAGTGCTGAGCAACAAATGTGTTTAGCTGTCTAGTCTGAAAACACTCCTGTTTAGACAACTTGAGAGGTGGTAGAGGCATTGAGTGCCTGACTTAGAAACAGGGGAATGTTTAGATAGCTTTTAAGATCCTCAAGAGAAGTTATCTCCCAACATGTATAGTTTATGTCTGAATGGCTCAGAGTGCCTGTCATCTACCTGCGTTTTAAATATGCTTCTTTCTGCGTTTGCCTGTGGAGTTCCATTACAGACTGTTAAGTTTCTGCAAAGACAGGCCCACTTACGTGGTTTCTCTCTTCTCTAGTCAAGAGTCTTGCACAGCGCCACGGAGACATGCACTTTATGATCCAAGCACGCCCAGTGTTCTCATGGACAGGGATGGGCGCTGACGGGGATGGACGCTCCATCTCTGCTGGCCGTTTGCATACTCATGAAGTAGGCACAGGTGGCTGCTCCATAGTCTTCCCTTATCTGCCACCCAAATCTCACTGGGCCACCCCATGTTTAGGCACCGGAATGCTCTCCATCCCTAGAGGTAGGACGAGAAAGGACGTCAAACTTCGAGATAACATGGAACAGGGGCTAGCCCCATCATTTTCTCACAATGCTCCCTAAACGTGGTCTTCAGACCAAGGGCAGCATCACCACCACTTGGGGGCTAATAGAATGCAGAATCTCGAGTCTCCACCCCAGACTTTCAATAAGACTCCTAGGTGATTCATATTTAAGCTAGGATTGGAGCGATCAATTGATGTATTCATTGATTAACTGGACGCCACTCAGCCGCGGGAAAACGGAGACTCAGTCCTTTGTGCCCACCTTGCACCCACTCAGCTCGGTAGCAACCGAACCCCCAGGGACATCGGATCCAGGCGCTAGCCGAGGGCAATTTGGTGATTGGCTTGCGCGGCCATGTGACCGGCGCTGGGTCTTCCTCGCGACTGGATTGGCTCTCACGGACGCTGACGGCCGGGCTTGGGCGGGCCAGAGCGGGGTCGGAGGGGCGTGCGCGGGGGGCCGGAGGGGCGAAGGCGCGAGAGCGCGAGTGCGCGTGCGTGAGCGGCGGGGCTTTCTCCGGAGCCGTCGGAGGGAGCCGGAGCGCTTCTCCTCCGGAGGTGAGCGCAGCGCCGGGCAGTCCCTCCTCTCCCGGGTCCCGGGGAGCCGGGTGGGCAGGGCTGGGCGCGGCGGGGGATGCTTCGGGATTCGCCGGTGCCAGCAGCCCCGCTTTGGGAAGGATGCAGCCCCAGCGCCATCTCCTGCCTCGGTGCCTCGGTTTCCCCTTTCCCACCCTCTGACGCGTCTCCGCATCCTCGCCTCCGCCGCGGTGGCTGTGCCCGGGGAGGCTTGCCCACCTGGCCTCCTCGCCTCCGCCTTTGTTTCCCGCCCCGGAGGGATGCTGGCACCGGTCTCCTCCCCAGGTAAAGGGTGCGGGTGGCGGCGCGGGGGCGCCACGGGCGCTGGACCTGGGCTGGAAAGAAGCTGGCTTTCATGGAGCGGGACCTGTCACATGGGTGAAGAAGGAAAAAAATGTAGTGTCACTTTGGCCGAGCCCTTTTGGGACTCGAACTAATCCGGCGGCTGCGAGCGAAGCGGAATTCCTAGCGCATCTGATGAGCCTTCTGCCTCAGTGCGGGCGCGGACATCGTGGGGGGACCAAAGCCCGGGGCTGCCCAGGAAGGCTGCCCTGCCTGCCGGCTGGACCTGCGCGCCAACCCTCACCCCAGACTTACCAAAATCCAAACAGAGAGAGTCAAGAGATACGTTTAAGAGGCTTCAACAACGTGTATATATGTACATACAAATAATATATGCAATATGTATAGGCAGTCGGACACTGGTAGAGTTAGTCTGAGAGGCTACAGAAAAGATCACAGAGACAGCGTAACTGATTGACTAGGAAATGGTGAGGGAATTGCCTGCAGTGAACTGCAGACCAGACCATCGCACTGAAAGGCTTCTTCAAAAAGATATAAGGGGAGGAGGGTGTGTGTGAAATGCCTAGGGCTGCCCAAGCCGGTACTTACTTTCAGCATAATAATGGGATGTAGGGAGAGGGGAGGCAGGAGCTAAAATAAACCCGTTCAGACCTCTCTGATTCTTTGAAAAGTGTGTGTTTGAAAAAAATCATTTGGCAGCCAAAAGAGATGGGTGGAGGGAGGAAAGGGTGAGGGTATCTCCTTTAAATTCTACTTTAAAAGGGGGAGGCTATGTCCAGGAGCTTAAGGGGTGCTTAAAAGGCAGGGTCTCCAAGGCATTTCCCCAGACCTGCAGTATCAAGGGCATTTTATGGTGAAATACGAAAGGTCCACTGAGTTGCCCAGTAGTTAATTTGATGTACCTGGTGATATAAAAATGGTTCAGTGTACTGCTATGGAGATTTTACTGTATCCCTGAGTTTCTGTGTAACTCATTCAGAACTTACTGTGGTACTAGAATCTCCACCTGACTTTACAGAGACGTTCTAACACTGCTGGCACACTCTCTTAGTACTTTTCTCTCCCACACAAAGTTATGCTTCTTTAGGAAACAGTCTGATGCTCAGACAGGAAAACACCACACCCTCTGTGAGTGAAATGTCTTGCTGAAAATTCAATTTATCAGCAAGTTAAATATTTTTTTTAATTTATGAATTACTATTTACGTTTGCTAGAAGAATCCAACTCTAGCAAGTTAACTTTTGATGGGTTCCTGAGACAAAAGTTGAAAGAACAAAAGCTGCTGTGAAGCTCCTTGGAATGCCACAGATGACCCCAGTAAAGTGAAATAAAGTTTCTCATCTGATAAGCTGGAAACAGAGCAAATAATAGGGAAAACTTAAAAACAGTAAGCTGGTATGCAGTGGGAGGGGGGAGAGGGAATGTTGAGGATGAGGGAGGAGGAAAGGTTTGAGAAAAGCATGCACTTTTATTTTTAGAGAAAAAAAAATGACATTTTTGTATGTAAGCTGCATGGAAGGCATGTGCTGATTGTTTAATGGGTGGAAGGGAGAAGGGGGTTTCAAAAAGGTTGACAGACTGGTTAGGTTATGCAAGGGCCAAAAGAAAGATTGGCAGGCATGGTTCAACTTGAGGGAAACGGTGTACCTTTCTGACCTGTAGGACAAGGGCTTTATCCTCTTGATTCAATAAAATGCTTCTTCAAAGACAATCACAAAATCTTTTCTTTTCTCTCGCTTCTCTCTCCTGGGTCAGGGACAAGAAGGATGAAGAGCTAAGGAGAGAGATTAGACTCAGACCCGCATGCCTAAGCACTGGAACCCTTTGAGGAGGATCTGTGTCACACTGTGTAAATCTAAGAGCCTTCACCTTGGCCAGTGTCTGGGTGCCTTGCTTAGGGTGCACGCTGTAAGATAAAGCTGGCTTACAGTGCCACAGGTGGGGTACTGGGTGAGATCATCTGATGGGAGAGAAGAGAGCCTCGGATTGATGAATTCAGCCAGGCTCTGCTGCTTGCTTGAAGGAGGTATTTCCAGGCAGAGATGCCTCATTATTAGCTAGCCTGGCTGGTCTTCACATGGCTTCCGGAGGACCTGAAGCTCACATGATGGAGGCCCCTGTGGGGAGGTTATGGATCTCAAGCTGTGTCAGTCATACCTGTAATGAACTGTAGAAAAACGCCTCAGGAGGACACAAGTCTAGGCTGCCTGTCTTTGCAGTCCTTGGCTCCTATCACCTACAGGTTTCCTCAAAACAAGCTGTACCCTCCCTACCAGTAGATGGCACTGTTGCCTCTGGGAATTCCTGGAAGGGGGGTGGTCACTGTGGCGCTGTCAGCAGCAGTGTGGAGAGGTGCACATTCAGAAAGCTGTGTGAGCTCCTAGTTAAATAGAATCTACAAAAACCATAGTTCTGAGAGCTTAAGTATCTACAGAATGAAAGAATAATCTGTATGGCAGGCAGTGAGGATTGTGTGTGTGTGTATTCTGTGTGTTCTGAGGAGAGAAGCCAGAAGGTAAATTGATAAGGACCATAGTATAAGCTTTAAAAGTACCTGACATATTGCTAGTTAATTAAACATAATGTTGAGGTCATGATTTGGTCTATATTCCCAAGACTTCATTTCTAATTATTTGCATATAAAACTAATCTCCACACATGGATTGTGACTATGGGAGTCTGCACGTGGTTTTTAAACCCAGTCTACAGTCAGTAATGTTCTGAAGACAGTGGTAAGAGAATTTGTGAAAATAATGCTAAATCACTAGACTTCAAGATTGCTCACAAAAGATAGGTCAAAGTCATTTTCTTCTAAAACTTGAAATTTTCTAACAAGTGTTTTCAGATTTTTTTTTTTTTTTAGCTAATGATAATCACCCCAAAATTGAACTTTTTAAAAACCTTTTCAGCCAAGGTTCATTCATGCATCCTTCAGAACATAACTTTTTCTTCTTTGACTGTTACCAAGCTTATAAGAGGGCATTGCAGACGTGAAATTTGAGGGAGGTGGGTGTTTTGGCTAGTAATGGAGAAGTCACAGTATAGGGGGAGGGTCTTAGTTCTGATCCTGCCCAAGCTGTAAGACATTGCCTCTAGGAGTTGTCACCCTGTCACCTGTCATTTTGTGCGGTTGTTAGGCCTTCTTTGGAGTTTATTCCTGTCTTTCCAAGTTAACTGATAAATCATAAAATCCCACTGGTGCAAGACAGTAGTCGTCACAGTAGTTCATTGGTGGTGTCTAATTTTGTGACCACAGGTAAGTCTCTGTCTTTCTGGCTGTCATTTTTCTTATGTTTACTGGGTTTGATGAGTGAACATGTCTTAAAATTGTTTCCAAGTAGCTAGGTGATTTTCATAAGGTATTCTGAAGCTTCCAGAAAACTTTCATTTAGAAAATATTTCATACTGTGAAACCAGAACAAGAAAAAAAAATCATACTAATTTTTTCCCCAGAGAAACAGTGGTGCATCCTCATTAGGTCCTACAGTTTAGAAGTGGAAGAAACCCTAGAGATGGTCTAAATGAACTTCATTTTTAGACAGGAGTTTCAACTTAAGCAGGGTGACTTTCCAAGCTAATGGAGCTGAATAGTGGCAGAGAACTCAGAGGACGGGGACCCCGGCTTGGGACTCACTGCAGTTTTTCTTCTCTGACACCTCTTCCTTTTACCCACACCCAGGATGCAGAAAGTGCTGTGACCACAGGGCAGGGCCAGGAAGGTTCTCCGAAGAATTCCTTGATGTGGGGTTACGTCCCAGCATGAATTGCTTTGGGTTAGGCAGTAAAGACCAGCCTTTTCTTTTTAGCTCTTTTCCTTTCTTCACTGACTGGCCCTGAGCAGGATTCTTTACTGCGCATCTTTGGGGATTTTTAAGCTTTTCTGCAGAACTGTTTCCTATAACAAAAGAAAAAAAAAATCCAACTCATTATTGTAGAATAGTCTTTGAAATACTCAATGAAATATTCTTAAATTGCGTCCATGGACTCCCCAGTTCTGTGTGAATCTGAGAGTAGTCTATGTAATTTGTCTCTTCTGTAAGTTCATATATTTTGTCTTTCATACATTGTGTGTGTGTGTGTGTGTGTGTGTGTGTGTGTGTGTGTGTGTATGCAGACAGGGCTGGGCCACAGTGTATGGGTGCATGTGGAGGCCAGAGCTAGATGTTTTGGGTGTCTTCCTTAATCACTGTCTCCTTCATTTTCTGAGACAGCCTCACTGAACCTGGAGATTGATGATTTGGGTATACTGACTGGGCAGCAGGCTCCAGGAATCCTCCCTCCTCTGCCCTCCCAGTGGTGGGATTAGAGACATTTGCCAGCATGCCTGGATTTATTTAATGTGGGTGCTTGGGATTTGAGCACAGGTCCTCATGCATGTGTGGCAAGCACTTGCTGACTGAATCGTCCTCCTGGCTCTCTTTGACACATCATTCCGAGAAGAAGGTCATTAAGACTTTAACAGAATACCAAATGGATCCATGACACAAAACTGTCTAGAATAGGTTCTAGAAAATTGACAAAGGGAAATATTTATTCCGTTCGCTTGCACAAAGACCAGAAAGCAGTCTTAGATGTCATTCCTCAGGAGCCATCTATCTTGTTTTTCTAAACAGAATTTCTCAGTGGCTTGTAGTTCTAGGATTGTTCTAGGCTAGCTGGCCAGCTGGGCCCAGGATACGCCTATTTCTGCCTCCCCAGTACTGAGATTACAAGTGTCTACTACCATGCTCAGATGTGGTATATGGATTCTGGGGATTGAACTCAGGCCCTTGTGTTTGCAAGCCAGGCATTTAATGCCTGACCCATCTTCCCAGCTCCAAAGGAAGATTGTTTTGGTTGATGAACTAATATCAGAGGAGAACATCCTTTTGAGTAGAATATAAAAATAAGCCTTTGGAAGTTTAGGAATAGTTTACCTTTATGAAAACTGCTTACCAAATGATGATAGTAAGAATGGCAGTTTGCCCATCTTAATAATGGATAAGTAAGTATTGATTTTCATTTATCATTCCTTTCTCAGTAAAGCACCCTCCTAATTTTTCCAAAACTACTTTCAAGACCATGTTGCTACATACTAAAAGACTCCCATCTCCCATTGTCCAATTTGATTTCCATATATTCAGTGTCTTTCTGATTTGTGACATGAAAACTGTTTAAGTTATAGCCTATATTAATTATAGGTAATTTCATGGTGACATTTTCTTACTTGTATATATTGGGGTTTGATCACATTTGCCACCCACTATCCTCTCTTGTTCCCCTGCCATCCCTCTGAGCTCCTTCCTCTTTCTTTTTATAAATTTTAATTTTTATTTTATGTGTATGAGTGTTTTGTTTGCATATAGGTAAGTGTACCTATGTCATGCAGTGCTCATGGAGGTCAGAAGAGAGCATCAGATCCCTTGGAACTAGAGTTACGGACAGTTGTTAGCCACTGTATGGGTGCTGGGAACTGAACCCAGGTCCTCTGCAAGAGCAGCCAGTGCTCTTAACTGCTGAGCCATCTCTCCAGTCCCCTTCTTCTTTCTAAGTAGTCATTAACTTCTGCTGTCATGTCTTTTTAATGTATGTATACCAGTGAGTTTAAGTAGTGTTACTTAAAGAAGCATAGGAAACTTACCAGTGGCTACACTACTGAAGAAAGTCTCCCTTCCTCTCCCAGCAACCATTGATTGCCTATAGATCTTCAGGGAAGGATGGGGCCTTTGTGAGCCCTCACCCCTAGCAATTATTAACTGCTTATAAATCCTTAGGGAGGGGACCTCATGGGCCCCTCCCTCATCCATGACAGAAATGACATGAAATTTTCACTCCTCCTTTTATTTGTGAGATGCTATAGCTATTATAAGGTGTATCTACTATAATTTGTATTATAAGCTCCTAGGAGTCATCATGATCTTAGAGATGCAAAATAATTTACGTGGTAAAAATTTAAAAACCTCATCAGCCATCTTTTTGTCCCCAAGGTGTACCACAGAAGTCACGGCTCTTTTTTTGGCTAATTGTTTTATTTCTCTTAACTATTTGCAATTTCAGGTTCTCTCTTTCTAATTGTCCTCAAAAGGAGTGACTCTGAGTGTGTATGTATTGGAAATGAAAATTCTTGGTTTTGCCATAAGGTGCACGGACGTTATTTTGTTTTTCATTCCCATTTTGGACACAAGAACAGTAACTCTCATGGAGAATCACTGCATTGTAAAGAATATTGCCTAGAGAAATCTCTTGAATTGTGTGCAGTGACGCCTTTCTTGCTCTTGGTACTTCCCTGGCCCATGCCACCTTCAGGTATCTTTTTGGTTATAAGGCAGAGTAATCTTTCTTTGTTCTTGCTTAGTAGAAGAATAAATATCTTTTCTTTGTTAGGAGTTTACTGAACAAAATCATCTGATAGATCAAAGTCAAATTTCTGCATTCCGACAGTCAAATTTCTATTACTAAGTTATCATGAAATTTGACAGGAAAGGAGACATCTGTCACTTCCCTGAATCTGTTTCCTCGCCTGAAATAAGGAAAGGGAGCAGCGTCCATCTAAATTCTGTTGTTTTCCAAAACCTCGTGACTCCGTGAAATTGTATTTGTACCCAGACTAAATAGGTCCTTAAAATACTGGCTAGTTCGGAACCCATTTAAAATCAGTCAAAGTTGGAGCCTGCATAAGATTTCTTTATACCTGAACATTGCTTTGTGTACAAACTTTATACATTTATTCTCTAATCTCATATCTTTCTTCTAATTAAAAGGAAGTTGGAGGACACTACCACCGGTGTCCTCTGAGCTTGTTAGAAATGTAGCATGTCAGACTTCACTTACGACCTTCAAGCTCAGTCCACAGTTTACCAAGAAGCTTACATGATGCATGTTCCCAAGAGAGTCTGAGAAGCCTGTTTTACTTCTTCCTTTCATCTGGGTCTTGTATGGTGTTTTATTGACAAGGAAGTTGAGGTCCAGAGTTGTTAAGCAACTAGGTCAAAGGTCAAAGTTGTTGTGATACTGTTTTACCCAGAACTTCATAATACTTTCCTCTTAAGTTAGGCTGGGGTTAGCCTTATACAATAGATCACTGGCTGCTCAGCCCATGAAATTAAAATGTGATTGTATGACTGACTTTTAGCCAGCCAATAGAAGGTGAGTGGAAGTATAAAAATGTTATGTACTTCTCTTTAAAAAAAATTATTGAATTTTTGTGCTTTTCATACAATATATTTTGATGGTATTTAGATCCCTTCCCCTCTATGCACTGCCCTTTGTTGCCTCCTCCCAATTTAATGTGCTCTATTATGTATGGAATAAAGCCTACAGAGTCTAATTTGTGTCCCCAGATGTCCTTCAGTGTGGGTCCACCCACTGAGGCCTGCTTAACCTACCAAGAGTCACATCCTTGATAAAGACTGACTTGTTTCCTCCCAGTTCCTCAAGCGGGGTTGGGGTTTCTTATCCACTTTTCCATGTCTGTTCTTAAATTTTGAGCTTGCATGGGACTTGTGCATGCTGTCACCATTGCTGTGAGTTCATATGAGTAACTGCCCGCTGCCTGGAAAACTCTGCTTCCTTGTGCTCATCCACCTCCAACCTGTGTGCCCCCTCTTCTGCAGTGATCCCTGAGCCTTGGGAGGCAGAAGTTTGGTATAAGTGTCCTGTTCAGGGATAAGCACTCTGCAGTCTCCTATTCTCTTCACATTGGCCTGTTGTAAGTTTCTGTATTAATCACCATATGGTGTATAGGGAAGCTTCTTTGGTGAGAGTTGAGAGATGCATTAATCTATAGGCATGATAATAAATCATTAAGAGTCAGTTTAATACTATAACCGTTCAGTAGAAAACTGGTATTGGGCTCTCCCCTATGCCCTGTGACCTCTCTAACCTCAGGTTTCTAGACCTGATGTGTGCCACGTCTTTGGAGCGGGGGTTGAGCACATACTATCCATACACAGGTGTACACACACAATGCCTGTACAAGTTCCTTCATGCTATTTTCTATTCCTAGCTGGTTGGAATGGAGAGAAAACATTAGAGGTTTTATTTTAAAGATGTCAGACTTTCATCAGCCTGGGTACCTTGATTACTGAGTACATCAAACCTGTCTCGTTTGACTTTCCACCTGTCTAGTATGTACACAGGTACCAGAGCTGAGCTTATATTGATCTAGAACCATTCTAGAAGTTGGAGCCTGTGTGTTAAATATGTGGTCCATTTTAACAGAGACATTTGAACAATGGCTTGAGACATGAAGTTGTAGGCAGTTTGGCCTAATGCATTTGTTCACCCTTGTCTTTGCCAGTTGGTGATCGATTGGCTGTGGTCCAGCATGCAGAAGTGAGTGTGCGGTGAAAAGCGGCAGAGCTGAGCTGATGGGTCATGAGGATGTAAGAGCGTTCGAAGGCTTCTACACCCTCTCCTCCAGGGTAAGGCAAAGGCATTCCCTGCTGTTGTTCTGCTGGTTTTAATGAGTCTTAGAGGCTCTTGAATCATCAGCCTCTTCGAGTGAGTGCATTGGGATGCTCTGACTATGAGAGGCTTCCAAAGCATTTCGGGATTCAAATCACAGACACAGCGCAAATCAACAAGAACAATGAAATGATAACCAAGGTGATAGATGAGTTCTGTGTGTGGAAATACCTCAGCACTGGACTGCTGAGTGCATTTGTATGGGGTGTGATTTATATGAGCAGGCTTTTTTGAGCTTCCAGAGGAGGAATGGGGGATGGATGCATTCTTTTGAAGCCATATCATATTGGTAACTTAGCTGGCTCAAATGTCTCTTCTCACCACCACCCCTCCTCCATGAATCAACTTTGCCTACCTTTCCTTCACTGATTGCTCTGTCAATGAAGGAAATAGCTTGTCAGAGTTGAAGTCCCTGGTTCGGTGTGCCATTGCATTTTAAAGCACCTGGCTCCACATTTTTCCATCTGGTACCTCTGGAAGCCATGTTCTCAACCATTCTTCATCTGTTTGCAGCTGCAGGTACAGTGTATGTGGGCACGGGGAACATGGCGACCAAAGTTGGCTTAGAGTTTTCATTTGCTTCACAAGTTGTCAAGACCAGCAGGAGAAATGCATTGTTGAGCCCTTCTCAGTCCTAGTGGAGGTACAGGAAAAAGGGAGGAAAGGAAAGGACACCACTCTGTTCTAAAATATTCCTTAAAGAAGAAACTTTGGCAATACTAATGTAAGCAGACCTATGGATGGCTAAAGAGACACTGGAGATTATTTTAAAAGTACTCAGGTTTAACCTGGCGGGAGGGTTGTGTTTGGCAGCTTGGTTCTAAGGCCTTACTACGCAGAGGGCACGAGGCCGCTGTACTTCTGTGCCTCCGTGATGAGTACACTCTACTGAAAAAAATAGACAATTAAGGACTTCACATCACTGGAGATTCCTATAACTGTGTATCATTGCTGCTCTGGAGATGAGCAAATCATGGAGAAGCAGTTGAGAGGCATGCCAGCCGTGGAGAGTCCAGGCGAGAAACCACACAGACCTGGGCGCAGGGCCTGGATGTCGCTTGTCAGCGAAGCTAGTTCCTGCTACATTTTTCTTGTTAGGAGTTTTGCTTAGTGTGTAGCTCCCCTCCTTGTACCTGCAGCTCCCATGTAGCCTCTATTTGAAAAAGTAGCTAAGATGTGTATATAGGATGTTAGAAATAGCACTCCACTGACTTGTTTCTGTGTAAATATTGTACAAGGAGCAAATTATGGAAAGAACCATTCTTTAACCATTGATGAGGGGCCGAAGAAGGTGATGTGAGGGAGACCAGTGTACCAGGCAGTATGGACATTTTCAATGAGGCAGTGCTTGTATTGGGTGTTGCTATGAACTGTAGGATGTATAGCATGCCCTTGCCCTTCACCTTTGCCCCCTAACTGTGTCAGTAGCTCTCCCCAAGCAATTATGACTATCAGACCTCTCAGTGCTGCCCAAGGTTTCCTGGCAGACAAAGCCAGTGTGGCTGGAGGAACGCGGTGCTTTCATCTTGCTCTGCATTTCTTTGGTGCTGTATTTTAATTTATTTAAATCCTTTTTTTTCCCCATTTCCTTACCTATAAAATACGCATGCCTTAGAAACTTAGCACATGGAAATGAGCATTGTGGTTCGCTGTGGCTCCTCAGGGTTTCCACAGATGCTAAGTCATAACTGTCTTCCCAGAGAATCACCCCTGATCCTTGTGGTGGCCGAAAAGGGAATAGCAGGGAGTGGAGGAACAGTGGAAGTCCTAAGAAGGGTGAAGGGTTAGTGTGGGAAACTGGGTGGTCCTGGATTCTGGATTTATTTCAGTAGCATCAGGATTACCTGGTGACTTGTTACTTCCTGTTGAGAGTTTCTAAGTTAATTAATTAATCTAGATGAAGAACATCTCTAGTGGATACTTAAATTGGAGAATTATTCTGTCTAGTGGCATCTTCCATTGTGTGTGTGTCTCTGTGTTTGTGATAGGTTAGGCATAGAGAAATCTTTTCCAGTTTCTTAAAATAGATGTAAGATTTTCTCATGCTAACACCTCTTGGGTCATTTTCCCAACAAGATCTAAGCTTTGTCTGCATAGCAGACACTAGCCTTATGTAACTTCTTTCTTTAAAGTAGTTAGAATTATGATTCAGTTCTTTATTTGTCCTAGCCACATTTCAAGTGCCCAGTAGCCACAAGTGGTCCACAAGTCTTAGTGGAGGTATACACCAGGCCCATTACTGGAGAACATTGTACTGGACAGTGCTGCTTCAGTTCACAAGGACCCTCATGTGTTAGAAAGTCACATTTGTAGTGATCGTGTGCTCCTGTCATAACAAGGTCTCACTTCATTTAAAACAGAGTTCCTTTAGAACATGTCCATCCCCGGGAGACGTTCTGTGGGGGTGTCTTGCTGAACTTTTTACCTTGCTGCAGCATCTGCCTGCTATAGAAGAGGCTGTGATTCTGTCTCTGACATAATCAAATGCAGTGTCTCTAAAATATTTGCCCTTTAATTCAGGGCTGCTGAGCTGTCTCTTTCCTTGTGTTCTCTCTGTCCTGACCTTCGGTGGTGAGGCCTGTTTGTGCAGGATGTCTTTTTGATACTGCTCAGAACTCTGCAAAGAGTCTGAAAGAGGTGACAGGAGTATTTTCACCTCTCTACTTCTAAGCCCCAACTTGGCTCAGAAAAGTGTTTCATAAGAGGGTATTAATTCATAAGCCTAACCTCTGAGGAGTTACCCCCTGGAGAATGAGTCTCTACAGCAAATTTTCCAACAGATCTTTTATAGCACGGAATCAGTAATTAAGCCCTTTAGCAACACAGAAGGCTTCTCTGTTGATATTATCTATTAATATTACCAATATTAGTTGCTCTGAAACTATCATTAGGACAAATGAAAAGATAGGGAAATAAAGACAGACTTTTTAAAGGATGTAATTTAAAGCTAACTGAGTTGAGGTTGTTTTGCATGGTAGAGGGAATTAGAATAATTTTATGTACCATTAATATATTGGCTTGAAGAGGATGGAAAGAGGCAGCTGGGGGCTGGAACTGAGCCTCAGACAGCCTTAACTCAGCCTTCACTGACTCACTTCTGGGGGCTGGGGATGTACTGCTTGTTCTTTTCCTCCCTTGCTCTGTTTGTTTTGTTTTGTTTTTTTTTTCCTTAGGAAATTTTCTTTTTTAGTACTTTTAGGTAGAAGCAAAATTGAGAAGAAAATACAAAGATTTTCTGTATTCCTTCCATTCCTGCGTGTGTAGCTGTCCCAGGCATCATCCCCCACCAGAATGGCACATCTGTTACAATGATGAACTTGCCACATTGGCATCATAATTACCCCATGACAATGGTTTACATTAGTGTTCACACTTGACCTTGTACAGCCTTTGGGTTTGGACTGTGTATGATGACATGTATTCACCAAGATAACATTGCCAATAGTATTTTTGCTGCCCTAAAAGTCCTCTGAGTCCTACTTTATACATGTCTCCTTTCCTTCTCTCCACCCCTCAAATGCCTAGGAACAAACCATTGGTCTTTTTATTTTCAGTTTTTCTTTTCGTTTAGTTGGAATTATAGTACATAGCCTTTTTAAAATGACTTCTTTCATTTAGTAATACACATTAAAGCCCCCCCCATCTTTTCATAATTTGGTTATTCATTTCTTTTTCCTACTGAATAGTATTCCATCATCTGGATACCAGAGTTTGTTGTTTATGCATTTACCTAGTGAAGGGCATTTTGGTTGCTTTCAAACTTGGTCCATTGTGAATAAAGGTACTCTAAACATCCATGTGCAGGTTTCTGGATAGATATGTATTTTCATGTCCTTTGAGTAAATGCCAAGGATTATGACTGCTGGATTGTATTGTAAGAATACATTTTGTTTTACAAGAAACTGCCAGACTGTCTTGTAAAATGGTCATGCCATTTTCTATCCCCATCACCAATGGATGAGAGTTCCTGTGTGCCACATCCCCACCAGCATTTGGTGTTGTCAGGGTTCTAATACATAACACAGTGACATCTCATCATGGTTTTATTTTGGATTTCCTGGAAGACATGGGATATGGAACATCCTCCACATCTATATTTGCCAAGTATGTGTCTTTTGGGAGGAGGTGTCAAAGTTTTTCTGGCCAGGTTTCACAATCAGGTTGTGTGTTTTCTTCTTGAGCTGTAGGGGTTCTCTTCGTATTTTAAGTTTTACCGTATGTGTCTTTTGCAGACACTTCCCCACCGTCTGTTACCTTCTTGTTCTCTCTATGTTGACTTCAGACAGCAGATGTTTTAATTTTAATAAAGTTCTGCTTATTAATTATCTTATGGATTTTGCATTTAGTATATCTAAAAAGTTATTGTCCTACTTAATATTATCGAGGTTTTCCCCTACCTCCTGTATGTTTCTTACTGTTCTGTGTTTTGCATTTGAGTTAATGTTTATGAAGGTTATAAGGTGTGTGTCTAGATTCATTTATTCATTTGTGTGTAAACGTCCGATTGTGTTGGTACCATTTGTTCAAAGGGTTTTTATTGCTCTAGAAAGGATTTTCAGCACAAATGTTGGAAATGACTCTTGTTTCTGATCGTGATAGCAAGCTGCTCATTAACTGCAGCATTTTTATGTATCTTCTTCAGTTTCTTTCCTTCTCCACTCTTGTCTGCCCTGAATGTTGGGGAGAACCTAGTTTTCTCAAGGGAGGAAGGGTGCTTATTAGCATTTTGACAGAATGAGTCATTATTGCTTTGTTCTTTCCTGTCTATTGTAGGGTGTTTAACATCCCTAGGTACTAAATACCCATACTACTATAACCAAGTAATTCTGCCAGCCAATTTCTAAATAGTCATTATTGAGAACAATGTTGCTAGAGAGATGAGTTTGATGTGTGCCTCTTAGGTAGGGAGGCCTATAGAGTTGGCTCCAAGGCAGAGGCCTCTTAGGATAAGATAGTC